CCCCAAAACCCCAAAACCCCAAAACCCCGTGAGCAAAAATTAAAGTTATCTAGATATATGAAGATTTGTTATAATTAATAAGCGAGTGAAAATGAAAACACCAGCCACGACGACATCAGGTGTTTCTCGAAGAGGAAGATAGAAAAAGCAAAATGGACAGAAAAAGAGAGGAACAGCATCTTCCTCATCTTCCTCAAGTTTTGACAAATCGAAGATCAACGTCAAAGGATTGGTAATTGACATAGAGAACATTACTGATGAATAGTTATATGCTCTGAGGAAAGAAATTCCGAGGAAAGATTACAGGTATGTGTCAATTTTGGGAATCTTATTAAATGATCTTTTTGTAGACTTTTGAAAAATAGAAAAAGTGCTCGCAAAAGTCGCAAAAGAAGAAAGTAAGAACTGTCTACTCTTAGAGAGGAGATAGATGTCTTAAAGAAAGAAAACAAGAGACTTATGGAGCTACTATAGTAAAAATAAGAAAATGATATTTCACTCATTGCTGAGGCTAAAAAAATAGTTAATAATAAGTTAACTTCTGAGTAAGCTATCTAAGTGACTCCATTCCCAAATTATATCCCTACTTCAGTAGAATTGACACCACTCGCAAATCCATAGGATATGATAACCATTGCAGAGCAAAAGAAAGATTCTGGGTGCCCCTCCATTCTCAAGCCAATGGCTAAGCATCCATGGAGCTAGATTTAATAATTACTGATGTTGCCATAAACTCTGACTTCATCATTAATTAATTAAGTTTAAAACTTTGAGAGGACTCACATACAGTCCTTCAAACACAAGTTGTAGATGCTTTCATGCTAGCAATAGCAATGTCAATAGCAATAACAAACGCCATTTAAACCTTTAAAGTAGAATTCCTAAAGCCACCAGTTTGCACAAAGTTTAGGAGGCTTAAGGTCTACTTTAAATGAAAATAAAAATTGAATAATAGAATCATTGATTTCATTCAGCTCACCTTTTGAGCGCTTGAATCGTTTGCATATATTCACTTAAAAATAATTTTTAATAAATTAATATATAATCTATTGTTAATGGCAACATTTGTAGAAAAATTGGTTGATAAGACTGTCAACATCATCACAAATGATGGAAGAAATTTCATAGGTACATTAATTTCATTTGATTAGAAGACGAATGTAATTCTCTCTTAATGCATGGAGCGCATTTACCTAGAGAATAAAGAGGTTTAAGCAGAAGAAATGGGTGTATTCTTTATAAGAGGAGACAATATCTCTGTAATTGGAGAAATTGATGAAAATTTAGAAAAAGGGATAGATTACAATAAGATAAAGGCTTAGCCTTTAAAGTCTGTATTACTGCACTGATCTTTAATGCCCATTAATAATTATGCGCTATATTGACTCTAATAAATTTCATAATTTGAAATTCTGCTTCAATTCACTTCACATGGGGTTTTGGGGTTTTGGGGAGATCGGAAGAGCACACGTCTGAA